CTCCTCCAAACTGTTGCTACCCATCAACCAACACTACACAGCATCACATTCAACAAGACCATAAACTTTACACCAGAAGCTGTCTGGTAAATCTTGTTTTGGTGCTTAATGGTTAAAATGGGAGCCACAACAGCTCATTTGGTATACAGACTAGTTCTGTATTTCAGCATCCTGTTGCAAATCTTCAATTAACGTCTTTGTGTATCACAGTCCATCAGTAATGCAACAATTGTTCTTTTTTATTTTTATTCCTATTCCATTTTCCCCTGATGTAGATTTCTAACATTTGGGAAGGGAACCACTTCACTGAAAGGAGTGACACTTTTGTTCTGATAAAATGATAACTGCTACTGATGTGGAATATAAACCTGTCTGTCCTGGGTGTAAGAAAGAATATCCTAGAAAACATTCTTAAAGGATTCCAGTTATTAATTACAAGCGTAGTAGTCATCAAAATAAAAAGCCTCTGGGCTTTGTGTATATCACATATGTGAGGGGCCTTTCAGAAAACTCATCTGGATACAAAGCATTCTACAATATTAAACGAAACTGGCCAAGTCAACAATACTGCAGAGGTTTCAAAAAACCAATGATCATGGTATAAAACATTTTGGTGAACTGAAGTACACATACTTAACAACACCGGCTTCAATTGCACACCTAAAAACTCCTTCTAAGTGGATCTATTGCAATGTTATAACACTGCTCTCATTCTCACAAATCACTTATATATAAAATAAAAATTAGCATTCCTCCTTTTTTCTCCCTTCTGAAAGAAACTACGGCTATCAGCAAAACAGAATAAAAGTGTACAAAAACACATACAACCACACAAATCAGACAGTACAAAATCTATTACATAAATCCAAGTCATTAATTTCATAATAAACTGTAAACAATCACACAATTTCACAAAATCTATCCCAAAATTTGTCAACTATATTACTTGAAACATTATACTTTTAATAATGTTGTATTTTAGCGTCCTGTTGCACTGATTTGTATCCATAATGTGTAAATATTAACCATCTTTTAGTGCATACAATTTCACTTGTCACTTCACGCTACATGTTTCGGCATCATTCTACCATCCGCAGGTGTATTAATCACGTCAAACCATTGCACTGCCTGCCATCGAGTGTCCATCTATAAAATGATATAAAATGTGTGTTCACTGTTGTTCAATAAGCAATACGTCCAGCAATACAATGCACGCAGCCACATAAGAAAGACACATCATAAGACACAGTATATACACAATTAGAACATAAGGGGAATGACTCCCATAACGGATGAATGGCATTACACAAGAGTTTGATGTATGGTGTGTGGGATGATGCATCTTAATGGATTTTAGTATATAAATTTTATTACTGAACGACGACAAACACACATTCTATACCATTTTATAAATGGACACTTGATGGCAGGCAGTGCAAAGGTTTGACATGATTAATACACCTGAGAATGGCAGAGTGATGCCAAAACATGTAGTGTGAAGCAACAAGTGAAATTGTATGCACTAAAAGACAGTTAATATATACACATTATGAATATACTTTTAAACACCTTTCAAACACGAGTGGCTACAGACACTATATGCATTTACTTACTTACTTACTTCTGGAGCTGAGCCCTTCTTGAGGAGCCAATTCTGCAGCTACTCAAGAATTTCCCAGCATTTTATGGACCCCGAAGGTTCATCACCATGTTCACAAGAGCCCCCCACTGGTCCCTATCCTGAGCAACATCAACCCAATCAATACCATCCCATCCTATCTAAGATCCATTCTAATATTGTTCACCCACCTACGCCTTGGTCTTCCCTGTGGTCTCTTTCCTTCTGGCTTTCCCACCAATATCCTATACGCATTCCTCTTCTCCCTAATTCGTGCTACATGACCTGCTCACCTCATCCTCCTTGACTTGATCATTCTAATTATATTTGGAGAAGAGTACAAGTTATGAAGCTCCTCATTATGCAGTTTTCTCCAACCTCCTGTGACTTCATCTCTCTTTGGTCCAAATATTCTCCTCAACACCCTGTTCTCAAAACACCCTCAGTCTATGTTCTTCCCTTAATGTCAGAGACCAAGTTTCACACCCATACAGAACCACGGGCAAAATTATAGATTTGTATATTCTAATTTTTATGTTTTTAGACAACAGACGAGAAGACAAAAGGTTCTGGACTGAATGGTAGCAAGCATTACCAGAGTTCAATCGCCTCTTAATTTCCTCCTGAACTACATGCATTACAAAACTAAAATAAATTGACATTAAAAGGCAGGCAGGAATTACAATTTACATTTAGTAGCAACACAGCATGAGCTCTGCCAATACTGCATAAGCCGAAGGCTCCTGTGCAGTCCGTGCCCATACCAGTAAACTCACTGCAAGCTACACATCTGCCCATATGTGGTATGTCTGCCCATGAGGCTTAAATCCGCAGTCAGAGTAGCAGCAAATATGTGTTTTGAAAGGAAACATGACAAAATACTTTTCAAAATCAATCTCTGAGTGTGTGCGTCCTCAAGTGAAGAACATGAAAAATAATCCCAATGTGGAAATACTGTAATAAAAATGTCTGGAGTACCACAAAAAACACTCGGGCAGTAGCCATTAACACGCTGTCACACTGTCACAATCTTCTTCCTACTCTGGAAGAGCAGAGTTCTTCTTCAGAACTGTCGTTCCCACACACATATAAATTGGTCAAAGTATGGTTGCCACTACGCGCAGTAAGACATTTACCACTGGTCATTAAGGAGTTTGGCACAAACAGCAGCAACGTCAGGCACCATAACAATCTTTCTCCATCATCATATAACCTAAGCCCCACAGAGCACCACTCAACTTCTATGCAAACTGTCAATTCTCTTCTCACAAACAGTAAGGTGAATACAGTCCCAACAAAAAAATAAGTAAACGTTTCAATCATCCGTTATTACTGATGATGATAAAAGTGTGAGGGAGAAATCTACTTCCCAGCACTTAATGGAGAATTTAGTACTAAAAGAACATCCCACAGACATATCATGTCACACATTTAACCGCCCAATCGTCAAGCAATGCTGTGTCCGAAATCCTATAATCACCAAACCTTCTGTAACATCCTATAATCACCAAACCCTCTGTAACACTATGGAAATCTCTTTATAAAAGGACTAACATTTTGTCCTCCTTACACACATTACATCATCAAATACAGATAACATAAAATTAACAGATTCTACCCAATCTTAAAACACAACCTAGTATCAGTACAGAAGCCCACATTTATGGAGCAGCATTATTGCAACTCAATAAATATCCAGCCACACTGTACACTCAAAGCTGGGTTACATACCATAAGCATTAAACAACTGTAGTCATATTATAAAACTAGACTATAGTTTGATCGTGATAACATATAAAAACACCAAAAATAAACTAAATTAATAGCAAAATATTTAGAACATATGACCTCAAACAAGCAGAAGATTGTAAATATGGTTGAAAACGCACCAATAAAAAAAATCCACTAGAGCATAAAGAATTTATCAGCAAGTATTGGAAATGAATGCACGGATTATTCCTACAAATAAAGCCAAATCTGATGAGCGCACAATAAATACGTGACACAGCATTAGGTTCGCCAACCGAACACTAGCCAACAACTTAATATTCCCAGTATTAATACAGAAGTCTTACCGGGCACACCCACATCAGTAAGAGTTATAGATGCGTGACATTAATTAGATATCTGGCATTCAATCAAATCAGTCCAAATCGATCCACAAATCAACGATCACTACACTACTGCGTAACAGTGATTAAATTTACATGACGGGCAATACCAACGAAACTGAATTGCATAACCTGACTGTTTATGTGGCAAAATTTGCGTAACGTGTGAATGGTACGACTAAGCTTACCGGTTGGTGAAGCTCCAATCGCTGTATCCAGGATGGGCACTGAAATTCTACTTTCTAACTGTTCACGAACTTACCACAACAAATTCTCACTACAAACATTAACTCATAAAAGGATACGTAGGTGCATGAGGGTAACGTTGAGAATATCCTTGAGTCTGTCCACTTTGATGTTTTCCCTTTTGAATGCTCATGGCAACGTGTGCTGAAATAAGTTTGAAGTCCTCATAGAAGGACCGTTCGTTTCGATATGAATGCTTCGTATAATCTCCTGTGAACCAAACAATCACGTGGGTTAACACAAACTTGAAAACCTGTGGGACTACTCAAAAAATATTATCAGACATAATGCAGGTTGAAATTGGCAGATGATTTAGGATAATTTATATTTAACAAACAACCAGCACCTTTTCTGGTTCTCGATGGAGATGACTTCGTACATTTCCGTAATACATTCGGTTACGGTCGAGTCGAGCGGTTGAAAGTCCGAAAATGGCGGCTCGTCTGGATATTTCAATGAATGTATTTTGAGTCTGTTAAATCACTAAACACGGTCTTCTCTTAGAGTTTTTTCACCGAATACATTGCTATTATTACACATATACTACTACATAAGACTATGTGAAATAAACAAAATATAAGCAATAAGAAAACAACTTCTTCAACAGGCCACCATACGAACGTTTCACGCAACTAGCACGGCATCTTTCGGAATTTGGGCAAGGAACTGCGTTCGTAAATAGCGCGGGAAAGAACACTATATTTCCATGTCCAAAACACGTAAAATATGTAAATAATGAATTTAAGTCCTAACAATACCATAGGAAATATACTGTATTACAATGAAACGCCCAAATGTCTTGAATAATTTACAAAAACTATTTTACAAAAAATAATGTACCACTGCAACTTCCTTACGCATGCAACATCTATTGGACAAATGGTGAAATACGTCAGTTGTGTGGGTGCTTTCTAGTATAGGGAATAATACGAGCATTTATTTTGTCAATGTTTGAGCGCTCACTAAACATACTCCATGCAAAGAGTATCGTTCACCCGCAGTGTGACCATTGACAACCTCCATGAACGATAACACAAAGTGCATGTCACAAACGACACGAAAGTAGGGTTAAGGAAGTTCAAGAAACTCTTAACAAAACTAACCTAATTGTAAAAAAAGAAAAACAGTATGACATCGCGAGGCCAAGCAGAGACTGAAAAATTAAGACAAAATTTGGAAGGCCAGTTGGACAGATTGGTTCAGCAATTAGCAGATTTGGAAGAATGCAAGTAAGAAAATTGAAGAGGGCAACGGAAGTTGAACCCTTATAATACGACTGCATGTAAATTAAAAGAACATTTCGGTTTAGGTAAAACAGAGGTAAGAAAATTAGGTTCTCGACTAAAGCAATGATGAATCCTCATCCTTTTTACAACAGAACGTTTTACAAAGTAAAATTATTTGCTTGAGATCTTAATTGTCAGTGAAGTACTCCCATAGATGATTTGTAGGTTAGGATTGGGATATCACAGTCAGTCTCTTATTCAGCTTATAAATATGAACTTCATACACAATTAACTCTACATTATATTACAATTTGATTCTCTTTTTATTATAACCAGAGATGATATTGATCCAAGTGAGTATGAAGAAACAAAAAGCGAAACAATGGAACAGTTGCAAGAATTCAATGAAAGTCTCTCCAAGATGATATCAGGTGATATGACACTGGTTGACCAGTTGGGATCCATGCAATTGGTAAGTGAATTATTAATGATCTATACAACAGAGCCTGCCAAAGAGAGTACAGTTCGATGATTGTGCACTCACACAAAACCTAATTTCCAGAATATAATATATTGTGTGCATATTTACATAGGCAACACAGGCAGCTATCAGTGCAGCTTTCCATACACCTGCTGTCATACGCATGTTTGCCCGCCGAGAACCAGATCTGTTACGGGAGCGGCTGGCCGAAGTTGACAGAGATGAACAACTTGGAAAACTTTCAGTCCAAGCTAGTACAAGAGAGAAAGTGAGCAAGACCTATAGTCAGTTATTTTCTCTTTTTCAAAATTCTATCGTTCTCAAATATCATGAAGATGGTTTATTCCATTTGTAATTCTGTTTCCACACACTTTGCCAGATATTGTTATTAGTATGCATCTAAAGATATAGTGCGAAACTGTTTTTTTATTGTTAAATATGTTAAGATTGTCATGAGACATAATTAGTACTTATAACAAAGACATATTTCATTCGCTGGCATGTAAGTCATAAACATGGTATACTGCTTCGAGCTCTTAGCACCATAAAATGTGTTTGCCTGAGATTAATACACATTATGGGACTCTCTGAAAGCACCATGTGCATGAAATGTGGAATCTTCCTACCACATACTTTGTCTGTACCCAGCTCTGGTTGGGCATAGAACAGACAACTTTGGTTCTGCACAGTTACAGCCGATAGATGTCAGGGCATGCGGGACAGTTTCATTGTAGCAATACAAGCTAGGCTCTAACAAGATCAGGGGCAGTAGCCAGTAGTGGTCCGAGTGTACAGTTTAAGTGAAGCAGTTGTCTCCATATGTCAACATAACAGAAGATTAATAAACAACGTCCACTTTGCATATTGTAAATAATCTCTGGCTCAGAGATATTGCGTTTTTTGGACTTTATCCATCGTCCTGGTTTTTAAGATAACTAAGAAAAACACGATGTTTCGGAAACTGGATCCGTTTCTCTGGCTGTTTGCTGCCCAGTTATTCTTCAGTGTTAAAATAATCTGTGAACATTTCTGCAGACATGTTTCACCTCGACTTGTGATCGTAGCTTCACTGTTTACTGTGGTTAGTATAAGATGCTTGAGCCCAAGTATTATAAAGCTGGCCCCTAAAATTTAAAATAATTTCTTCACCCCTGGTCCATATAGCCTGTGTGATTGCAGACTGAGATATTGAGTGCCCTGCGACAGTTAGAGGAACGTCTGTCACCAGCTGAACTGAAGTTCCTGGAGCAGCAATTATCGTCTAGTCTTGAGAATACAGGAAAGCAGTTTGTCCGTGTCAGCGATACACTGGGTGAGGACACAACATTAATTGCCTAGTATAGCCACTGGAAGACCAAAGTTTAATCACAAGTCACAGTTCTTCATTTCTCAAACCATTAGGCCGTTCCAGTGGTCTTACTGAAAGATCTGAGCACATCCTCTCTTCATACTTTTGTCAAACAAAAAATACTGCATCAGTAAAACATTATTATACTAGAAACACACTGAATCAAAATTCACCCATGTTCACTGTTTCCACACAAAAATATCAGTCACATCGGACCTTCTTTTTTTTCACACTGTCTGATATGATGTCCCTGCAATGTTACAGAAGCGGGAGAAAGAGCATTGGAGATGGCTCGGTCTGAGGTCCGAGCAGTGAACCATTTTTGAAAGAAACAGCTATGGAGCTTACTGTCCTGGTTGCAAGATGGTTCTTCAAAAATGTCCACAATACAGAATTGGTTCTTCTAGAAAAAAAGATTGGATGTTCAGTTAGTTAAATTTACAGATTGATGTGGCAAACAAGTAGTTAAATTTACAGATTGATGTGGCAAACAAGCAAGACCCAGTACAGTTATTGAGTTCTTGGACATTACCCATCATCCTGTTCTCAATTTAAAACACAGTGTGTTGGAGACTGGACTCTTATCTCCATCCTTAGGTCGACTCAGTTTGGCCCAGTCGATAGAGCTACTCCGTCCCTGTCAAGGTCTGGAGATGGGGACTAGCTCCATCGATTGGGCCCAACTCAGTTGGTTTTTACCTAAGGACAGAGATAGAATCCAGTCTCCAAAATGTTATGTTAAAAAAAGGACGATGGATAATGTCCAAAAACTCAATAAATGTATTAATATACCATCGTCACAAACTTCTGGATCTTAAGTATGCAAGATCCATTTTAAAAAGACATTTTCAAAATACACTTTGTATTGGTATGTTTTGTACTAAGGATGACATATTGTTCCATTGGTCTCTTCAGAAATAAAGTGGTGGACAAAGTATATAATGGCCTATAATACAACCCTTTAAGCATAGAAAAGCCCCACAAAACTGTGGGTTTTCTTACATGTGAAACATAAAAAGCAGACCTTATATCCTTAAAATGCTGTTTTGACAAACAGTTGCTATGCATTGCTCAACTCCCACCACAATTATTTCTAATTTAAACTCATGTCTAGTGCACATTGTAAGATAGGAATTATAATTAAATCTGCGATGGGATAGCATGACAACAATTAATGTAACTTCAGACTTTACCCCACATCCATTTGCAACAGCTGATCCAGAATAAACAAACAACAGAGCTATGTGACATTCCAGGTAACTACCAGTAGGGGAGTTAATAGCACAATGTTCTGTGATTGTTCATAACAAGCCTCATGCACTACTAAATTAATTTCTTTTAAGTTGTCTTATCTGGTGAACACAGTTCTATATTTAAATTTTCAATTTAAATTTGGGGGTCATCTTATATGCCACTATATACAGTGTGTAACAACTGAAACCATTTTATCTGCTGTCACATTTTATTACATATTAATAATAGGTCTATTATTATAAATGTACCAGTATATACCTTCCCTTATTATTAATGTTTAACCATTGTGCTTCTTCCTTGCAACAGAAACATAAATTAAAGGAACATGAATCTAACAAAGCAGTACGTTACATTGAACATCAACTGCATTTAAATAATTTATTGCAATTATTGCTTATAATACAAGACATGTATGTAACTTAGCCATACCAAAGCAAGGAGTGCTACAGTTCACTGGTTTAAATACATTCAGTGCCCACTGATCAGATCATAACCCGATTTTCTAGGTTTCTTCAGCAACATGGAGATCACTGATAAACGATTATGTTTGCCCATTGTAATTAAATGTGTACATATACTACCACAGCCAATAAGTTCATGGAATGGCCACAAAGCATTGTACAGGAATTTACTACCAGTATGTTTCAGAAATGTTTTCAACAGCTGTATCACGTTGGCAGACTTGTATAGCGGCCAAAAGCAACTATTTTGAGGGCCAATGTGGATCTGCGTAAGTGTATGTGAATACCTTGTAATATGATGAGATAAAACCACATTCCACGAACTTAATGTCTCTACCATGTATATATATTATCACTGAGACTTCATGGACTGTTAATTTGCTGCTGTACTGTACTAAGTTCAGGAAACAGCAATCTACAGGACTCATTACAGACGATGTTACCAAACCTTTTCCAAAACGTTTTTTCTTTTTCATTTTTATCAACATACACTGTTCTGTATCTTTAGAATCATAGAAGTTTCAATTTGGATACACAGACCATTAACGTTAATTTTTTGTCTTGAAACATCGATATTTATATTGGATTTGAGATTCTAATAGCAGTGCTTATGAAGAATTCTTCTGGAATATAACGCTATGTAGTCCAGTGAAAGTCAGCTGACAGTTCCAAGGAAAATATTACCTCCATCTTCAGGCCTGAAGAGTAAACCAAGCAAGAAACCAGAATGAAACAGGCAGCAAGCCACGATGAAGAGGGAGGCAGTAGTTTCCTTCAAGATGTCAACTGTCTTTCAGCAGACTACATGGTGTTATATCCCAGAAGACAGAATTCATCAGTATTTATGTTTCTACACCAAAGCCTCATGTAAATGTAAGAAAGGATTATATGGTTTTCTTAATTCAGACTTAAGTGAATAAAAGCAAAGTGTAATCCAAAACTGCTCACATGAAAGAATTGCATAAAGCCTCTACTCACAAGTTTCAGAACTTCAAATCTTGCTACTAGGCTCATGAAAATAACTTGGGCAACGATCGTGAAGGGCCGACTAAAAACTTACATATATATATATATAAACTAAGCTTGGTTCGTTTCATCCTGGTCTGTCATACTAACAGTATTATAAAAGGTTAATTAATTCCATCCAGTGTGACTGATGGGAGTTTTTTCTACTTTAATATTTTATCCTTAACATGTTTCCGTCCTATAGACCATCTTCAGATGTATATCAATACAATTAGAAACCACTATTACAATATGTTTTGTGAATATTAATATATAGTACATTCAATGTTATCATAATACAATGAGTACAAAATTTACATTTACAATATACATCCCTGAATAATTTATCCAGTAAAACCTGATTGCTTTTGAAATGAGACCCACCAGACAACACCTGACAGGCCTATGCTAAATGGTGTTCACACTTTCCATGTTGGATATTAAGTCTGCATGGCTGTCAGCATGGGAATGTTGAAGCCAAGGTGTTAGAAACATAATCGTAATGAAGTATGCAATAGGACAGCAAACTGTACAAACACCAGTCAATTAATGACAGAACTTTCCTGCTAAGTTATTTAATAAGATGTTCTGGGAAGAATCAATGATACCCAATTTCATTAAAATGTTGAATCTATATAATGAGGCCTATAAATTATTATTAAATTTAGTTTTCAATGATTCCTGCTATTCATACATAAAAAGGACTTCATATAAAATGTTATACAATATTCTTCTCTCAAGGTTAAGTCCACACATATGTAGATGAAATTATTGGGGATCATCAGTGTGGGTTTCAATGTAACAGATCAACTACAGATCAGATCTTTTGCATTTGCCAGATACTGGAGAAAAAATGGGAGTACAATAAGACAGTACATCAGCTATTCATAGACTTCAAGTAAGCCTATGACTGAGTTAGGAGGGAAATATTGTACAATATTCTGATAACAGTAAGGGGAACCCATGAAAGTAGTTAGGCTGATTAAAATGTGTTTAAACGAAACATACTGTACTCTTCCTGTAAAATAAGAGAAGTATGCTACACAGAAAAAATTATTCAGAAGGTATGAAGACAGGACAAACAAAATGCACTGCCCTTACAACAGTGTTTCAGATACAAGCTTATGCATTAAAGTATAAAGCTCTCAGCCCCATGCCAATTCCCACTGCACCAAACCCTCCATTTCTCTCACCTGTCGTCCAGGGTTGGTCCAATGGCACATTTATGGCTGAAGTACTAAGGTAATCCCCCCAGAGAATAAAAGAAACTCTATCACACTGAGACAAAACTGATGTGCCTGGTTCAAATACTGACTCTTGCTTCCTCTGTCCTTTTGTGCAAGTTACTGCGCCAAAAAGACATCCCTCGAAGCATTACTTTACTATCTAGTAATGCAGAGTTGGATGAAGAAATAAAAACATTACTTACTTACTCATGGAGCCGAGTCCTTGAGGAGAAGCCAAATCTGCAGCTACCCAAGAATTTCCCAGCATTTTATGGAACCTGAAGGTTCATTACGATGTTCACCAGAGCCCTCCACTGGTCCCTATCCTGAGCCAGATCAATCCAATCCCATCCTATCTCTCTAAGATCCATTTTAATATTGTCCACCTACCTACGCCTTGGTCTTCCCAGTGGTCTCTTTCCTTCTGGCTTTCTCACCAATATCCTATATGCATTCCTCTTCTCCCCCATTCATGCTACATGCACTGCCCACCTAATCATCCCTGACTTGATCAATAAAACCAGAACCAAAGATAAATACTCTTCTCAGTCACTGCTTCACTGCTGAGAGAACTCAAATCTAACAAAAAGACCACTGTCTCTATATGATACGACGCGACCAATGGAGGTCTTGGGTGATCTGGCATGATTCCAATGTTTCAGAGACTGTCTGTGGCTCCACCACCAGGAACTGCTCTGCCCGCATGTGCGCTTAACTGTCACAGTGGGCAGAGCTAGATGGTCAGTGGGGTCCTATCCTAGCATGGTCCGCTGGGGGAACAGCAAGTGACATGGATTCTGATGACTCACTCTCTAATTCTGCTCACTGTTTCCCCAGTGGCTTGCTGGTATGAGACTTTACTAATATTTGTTATGTCACACTATTCAAATGCACATAAAGTGAGACAACAGAACAACATATACTTAATGTATAATGAAACAAAAACTAAACGCCAGTATAGGAAGTCCCTGAGTTATCTCACAAATATACATGTACAAGAACAAATCTTAATATTCCAGTAATCCATTTTCATTTGATATATATGAACCAGGCACTACTGTCATGAACTACTTAGTCTCCAAAAGGAACTGATGTCCTAACCTCTATGGTTTTGAAAGTGCCAAAAGCCCCTCTCTACATTTGCAGATAAATCCTCCTCTCTGTCCTCTCCTCAATGTGTTTCTCCTCAAGAAACGCCACTTCCAATAAGATAGAAACAGAAGTAAAATATTTGTTCACTTTGTCTATTTTGTTTCATTACTGGTATTAAAACAGTACTGTTTTCTGCGAATGTTTATTTGAAATGAACTGTACTTCAACTTAATTATGGGCTAAACAGACAATTATGGGCTGGTTTGGGAACCCATCAGCTATTCATAACACCGTGTCTGTGAAACATCGAGTTCCAAACAATTCATAACAAACGTCTGGAATGCAACCCCATTCAGACTTCGTGCACAACACATACGTGATATATTAGCAACAGAAGCATGTTCAGATTGTGGCTGTTGCACTGTAACACCGTGTAATCTTACAGGTGGAAACTGATGTTTCAGAGACAAGTGCTTCCTCCATCTTCAACCATCATGCTATGAAGACAGCATGTTCCTCCAAAATATCAGTACCTGCATACAAGACTACACCATGTCACAACTCAAACAACCAGTCTGAACAATCATCCCTGTGAAAACCTCAAAACCTATAAAAGTATCTTTTATACATACAAAAGTATGTTGCTTATTTCCTGCATACAAGTTGCTCACTTAAGTTATAAATCTGTGAGTTGTTCACAACCCAGTTTAACTGTACTACAATCATTAGCACTCCAAACAAGAGTAT